GCACAATATAACCAATATAACAACATAATTTGGCCAATATCATTCCCTTGCAGTTCCAGAATACTCTTGAATACTGTCTCTACCTTCACTTTTAAGTGGAAGGAGAGAATTCATCACTGGGTATGAAAAGTAAAATTTTACTTTGAAAAGTAAAATTCAGTCAATTGTTGGAATTKTTGAAATAGAATATAAAAGTATCATATAAATAGTCCTTTAAAATATTCTTCATCAGAATGCATGGAATCATGGAGACAGCACCAATGATATTTTGGGAAAAATATAAATATTCCTTGAGAGCAAGGRTATAAAATACAGTCAGAAAGTCTAGTTTACACAAATGAGCTTATGTGATGAGTAGAATGGTTATGTGCTTGGTTTCCCTAGAAAGAGTTCAGTATTTATCTTTAGCAAAAAGAATAAAACATTGGCCAAATTCTCAACAAGTGATGAATCAACACATTGACATTTAAATTTACTGAATGGAAAAAGGCATAAAAGACATTATAATCTACAAATAAAAATATTTTGTGCCACTGAATGATTCATCCTTACTACTAGGTTAATTTATTTTATTTTTAAAATTTTAGCTAATATATGGAAACATAAAAGCTGTATGAATTAATGGGGTACAACACAATTTTCAATATATTTATATATTGCATAATGTTTAAATCAGGTTAAACATGATTACCTCTTCAACCATTTCTCATTTCTTTGTGATGCTTAGTTTAGTTTTGAATTGTTTAAATATGGAACACTTTTCCAATAATTGAAATTTGCTTTAAATATAGTTCTTTATTATTTCTAAATTTAATACCTGTTGTCTGTTACCACTTAGGGTATCTATTTTGAAAAAGAAACACAAAGAATATATTTAGTTCACATTCATCAACTACTTAGCCATTGGTTTCCTCAAACAAGCTAATGATTCAACCATGGTTTATTCTAGCATAATCACAAAAACACTATAAGAAACTAAAAAGAGTACTGTACTTAAGAACTTTGCCAACTAGATGCTAGATCAACAAAATTAATGCTGGTAACAAGGTTCATTTCTACATCAATTTAATATGTAAAACTTACCTTTCCAAGCTTTGCTATATCTCGGTACAAGGACAAAGGCAGAGTAAAGGTTACCGTGGAAAGCACAATAATGAAGTGACGACCAATAAATACATTCTCAGGATCAACTAAAATACAACAAATAATATTTAGTGTTTGGAGATACAAGTAGCACATTGGTCACACAACTAAATAGGCAAGCAGTTAATTATAAAAAAATGACTGAAATAATATAAATTATCCCTAAATGAAAATGATTTTAAACATATGTAAAAATAGAAGGTAAATAGGGAGCCTACATCCTGGGAACAAATTTTTACTCCTCACACTTCAGATAGAGCCCTAATATCCAGAGTATACAAAGAACTCAAAAAATTAAACAATAAGAAAACAAATAACCCAATCAACAAATGGGCCAAGGACCTGAACAGACACTTCTCAGAGGAGGACATACAATCAATCAACAAGTACATGAAAAAATGCTCACCATCTCTAGCAGTTAGAGAAATGCAAATCAAAACCACCCTAAGATACCATCTCACTCCAGTAAGATTAGCAGCCATTATGAAGTCAAACAACAACAAGTGCTGGTGAGGATGTGGGGAAAAGGGTACTCTTGTACATTGCTGGTGGGACTGCAAATTGGTGCAGCCAATTTAGAAAGCAGAATGGAGATTCCTGGGAAATCTGGGAATGGAACCACCATTTGACCCAGCTATTGCCCTTCTCGGACTATTCCCTGAAGACCTTAAAAGAGCGTACTATAGGGATACTGCTACATCGATGTTCATAGCAGCACAATTCACAATAGCTAGACTGTGGAACCAACCCAGATGCCCTTCAATAGATGGATGGATTAAAAAAATGTGGCATTTATACACAATGTAGTATTACGCATCACTAAAAAATGACAAAATCATGGAATTTGCAGGGAAATGGATGGCACTAGAGCAGATTATGCTAAGTGAAGCTAGCCAATCCCTAAAAAACAACTGCCAAATGTCTTCTTTGATATAATGAGAGCAACTAAGAACAGAGCAAGGAGGAAGAGCTGGAGGAAAAGATTAACATTAAACAGAGATATGAGGTGAGAGGGAAAGGGAGAGAAAAGGGAAATTGCATGGAAATGGAAGGAGACCCTCATTGTTATACAAAATTACATATAAGAGGCTGTGAGGGGAATGGGGAAAAAACAAGGAGAGAAATGAATTACAGTAGATGGGGTAGAGAGAGAAGATGGGAGGGGAGGGGAGGGGGGATAGTAGAGGATAGGAAAGGTAGCAGAATACAACWGTCACTAATATGGCATTATGGAAAAATGTGGATGTGTAACCGATGTGATTCTGCAATCTGTATTTGGGGTAAAAATGGGAGTTCATAACCCACTTGAATCTAATGTATGAAATATGATATGTCAAGAGCTTTGTAATGTTTTGAACAACCAATAAAAAAATAAAAAATAAATTAAAAAACATCTATGTGACTGGGAAAAAAAGAAATAAATTACAAAAACAAAATAACTTACGGGTATACCAAGGCCTGAAATGAATTTATAAAATTTCATATTCATATTCTTTTGGTAGTTCCCTAATCAGTTTCTCTGCTCTTCAAAGCAAATAGACTCATGGTCTCTGAATTATTCTTAATAACCATGATATGGTGAAATGTTGAACAGGAAGCGGGATCCTGGTGCATGTTGTAAAGGTCTGCTTGAGAATACTGTAGCAACTTTTTTGTAACCATCCCACCCTGCAAATAATGTCTCTCTCTTGGGTGAAAGACACACTTGTCTTATGTATATCCATAAAATGGAAAGCCCCTATAGAGGCCAATTACTGATACAACTATAGATCTAGACAAATCTAAAACACACTCTGCCAAGAAAAAGAAGCCAGTCTCAAAAGATACACATTGTATGATGTCATTTACATGGCATTCTGAAGAAAAGCCAAAGACAGGGAGAGAAACCAAGTCAGTGGTTGCYAAGGGTGGAGATGAGGCGCTTTTCACTAGAGGGAGTTGGGCAGAACTTTGGAGGGTGATGGAAAGGTTCTATATTTTGTTGTAGCTGTGATTATATGACTATAAACATTTGTGAAAACTCACAGAATCTATCCTAAGGATTAATTTTATTGTATTAAATTATAGCTTGATACAAATAATGGGGAAACTATTTTAGAAAAGATATAGTAAAAATAGGATGTGAAAAATGTTACCACAGAGCTGTGATATGAAACATAAGGAATTTAAAATGTAGACTATTCTAAGTGTATGAAGAATGACAATGTTTTTAATTGGCTAAATAAAAACTATGTATAAAAATAGATCAAAAATTAGGATCAACATTGGTCATGGGAATTGCAAGATATCTGAAGTAATCCAAGTCTTCCACTTTCAAATATTTTATTTATATATTATAATGAAATACATTAACTATATGTAACCATATAAAATAAAGCAATTTAATTCTTCAAAAGTCTTATTTTCACTTACCTCCAGGAATTCTTTGAAAAACTTTGCTCAAAGTATCTCCAGCTATTATGTTATAACTTATCATAGCTAAAAATATAATTAAAATAATAGTATTAATAAACCACCACACATCTCATCTTGAATATTTTCAATGTAATCAGTTATTACTTTCCAAGAATTTACATAATCCTACCTTTTAAAATATATATTGTAATTACGAATATTAGCCACCTTAAATTAACTATTCAACAGATTTATGGTAGAATATCAATTTATATTACAAAAAGATTTTCAATTTATAAATATATTTTCCTCAGAACACCTTTAAAAAATGAGTTCTGGTAGTCATTTAAAATTTAAAATGCAATTTATCTTGGTATTAAAGTTCAGTTTCAAAACCTTTTTTTCAGGAATACATGTACTGCTTAAAGTGAGGAATAATAATAGTAAATGTTGAAGGCACCAAAATATTCCTTCAATTGAAATTGTAAGACATTTGGGAGAAATACAATGTTGACCTTTTGTGGAAACATATGCAGTTACACATTTGGACAATAACTTTTGTGATAATGATTTTAAAAATGAAGTCTATTTGGGCATTGGTTTCTATTAACATTTTACCATTTAAGAAGTGCCAGGTAGGGGCTGAGTTTGTGGCTCAGTGGTAGAGCACATGCCTGGCATGTGTGAGGCCCTGGGTTCGATCCTCAGCACYACAGAAAAATAAATAAATAAAAATAAAGGTATTGTGTCCATCTACAACCAAAAATAATAAAGAAAAAAAAAAGAAGTGCCAGGTAGCATTTTCACTATTGTCATAGAAATCTTAGATAGCATGTTTGTCTAGTACATCATTTTACAAATGCTTAGGGTTTCACAACAAAGAAAAAAATATATTGAGCCTTAGAAGAAATTTGTTATGTCTCTCATTCATTTCACTTTTAATTACAAAAAATTCTATAGTTTTGCCAAATAAGAAAAGCCCAACCTTAACTAGATGAAAATCAATGTCATTTTATTTTGGAAAAACACTCAGAGAATTGACCAAAAGGASCAGAAAATAAGGAGAAAATTAGTGAAGATGTAAACATTTAATTTGGAAAATATTTCAACTGCTAATTTTCTTTAATGATTCTTAAATGATTATTAAAATGTTTTTATTCAGAAGTAACTATTTAAAACAAATCATTGTAGTATTCATCTTCATAATCATCTTACCTATAAACGGATATAAAAACTGTAGAACAGAGAGGAGGAGATACCCCGGAAAACCAAAGGTTTTGTTAACCAAAGACTGGTAGCTGTCTGTTCCAGAAAGGGCCCCTCCTTTTATCAACAAAATAAGGGAAAAGTCTGTGGCAAATAAAGTAACAATTAAACAAATGTCAAAATACATTTGATAAAAATAGGTTTTTTTGACTTATCACAGAGATAAAGGGAATTTTTTTTTAAGTTTAATGGTACAGCATTATCATGACTATATATATAATATTATATATATAATATTATATATATAAYTACCTTTCATGAACTGTCAAGTTTTTAGTGACATATTTTTTAATCAGGCTGCATATGCACTTAACACATCCAGACAGTGAACTGGATAGAAGAGGGATACAGACTGGAGTCAATGTGTCAGGATTCCATTTTACTTTTCCAACCAACAATGTAACCACTGTCACCATAATGTGACAACTCTTCAAGCAACAGAACACAGGGACTTAAGAGTTTCATACATAGTCAATGTGTAAATATTGAGAATAGACGTGCTGTAGACATTTTAGAAAATAAATTTTAGGAGATTCAGAGAATTTGTTTTATAACAAAGTAACTTGATTTTTTATATATCATGGTTAAGAATACTTTAAAAATTCACATTTTAGGAATTCCAGTTCCAATTTTAGAATCAAAGTTAAAAATAGAAATTACATTTAAAACTTACTTTCTCTATTTAACTTGATTGATTGATTTTATTTTATTTTATTTTATTTTTACTGAAGGACACTATCTATCGCTTTATTGAGTACAAAGACATGTATAAGGTGTGATACTGGCTCTTTATTTTATTTCCTTTTAATTTTTTGGGTCACTGGAGATTGAAACCAGGGTTGCTACATCACCAGTCTTTCTTGTTCTTTGTTTTGAGTGTGTTCTCATCTTGCTAAATTACCCAGGTGGTCCTATCTATCAGAACATGCTATCTGTCTGCTTCTATTTCCTTAATAGCTGGGATTACATGCATGGACCACCAGCGTGGCCCTGGCCTGGTACCCTTTAATCTCTCTCTCTTGTATTTCCATCATGGCAATTTCTTTTTATCTTCTAAGTAATTTAGAAAAGTATTAGAAAACAAACTAGAAAATACAAATCACTGTGGTATGGTTTCCACCTTGATTTTCTACCCATAATTAAAGCTTCTTTCCATGAGATCAACAGTTTCCAAGTTGATGAATATAATTTCTTTTCTCCTCCCACTATCCACAATACCACTTGCTCTTTCTGATTTTTCCCCTCTTCTAGTTATCACTTCCCTTTAACTCATCCATCTTGCCTCAATCTTTGTGACAGCACTTTCTCCTGGTTGACCTCCTACCATTCTGGCATTTATACTGGTTTTCAACAGTTTCCTGACTCTGCTTCAAACCCTGTGTCCCTGGGATTTTTGCTCATTCTTCAAGATGTCTTCCTGTGACCTTATCACATCCCTGGTTTCAATTTTCATGCACATGTTAGTAACACCTAAATTTGTTTTTCCCAGTTCAGACCTTTCAAAACTCCGCACTTCTACATCTAGCTGCCTAATACAAGTCTTACCTTCAAGATCTCATAGGCATCTCAATATTAAAATGTCCAAATGCTACTCTGTGTATTTGTTCTGAAACTTGATTCCTCGACCATGCTTCTCCAAATGGTGAAAAATAACAGAAACTTGAGACTCCTCCTAAACTCTTCAGTATTCATTACTTGCTATWTAACTTTGGTCCCAAATCCAGTTAACGGTTGTATCATAAATATTGACTAATATCTCCTAATTGTTAACCTCTCACCTCCTTTATTATAGAGCTTTGGCCTTACAATTTCTTTCCTGGATTGCTGCAATAACCTCTTTACAGTTCTTCCATTCACCAAACTCGTCCCCAGTATAATTTTGACATCTCCCCTCCCCCAGACAGATCTAACCATAGTTTAAATCTAATCAGTCTTCTACTTTAAACTCTCCAGGGATATCCACTAGTGCTTTGAATAAAAATAAAATTCTTTCATGGGCAGAAAAACCATATGTGTTTATCTGTGCAGCCCTTCTTGAATCTTTGTAAAGCAAAGCAATATGCCCATCTTGAAGAATGATGTAAGGACCATGGAGTTTAAATGTCTAACACAATGTCTGATATGTTAGAGAGGTGTTTTAGTTATCGTTTTTTGCTGCTGTGACTAAAGGACCCAACCAAAACAACTTGTAAAGGAGCAAAGATTTATTTAGGGGCTCCCAGTTTGAGAGGTCTCAGTCCATAGACAGCCATGTCCATTCCTCAGGGCTCAAGGTGAGCCTGAACATCATGATGGAAGAGTATGGCAGAGGAAAGCAGTTCACATGATGATCGGAAAGCAGAGAGAGAGGTCTCTACTTGYCAGATACAAATATATAGCCCAAAGCTACACCCCAATTCCCACCTTCTCCAGCCACACCCTACCACTTCAGTTACCACTCAGTTAATTTCTATCAGGGGATTAATTCACTGGGTTAAGGCTCTCACAACCCAATCATTTCTCCTCTGAATATTCTTACATTGTCTCAACTGTGGACTTTTGAGGGACACCTCACATTCAAGCCACAACAAGARGCTAACTAAATTAATGAAAAGTTGTGCTATTTTTATTTATTTTTAACAGGTTGCATATGGTGGTTGAAAAAAAATCATTGTGGRGGTTGATAAAAACTACAAAATAGTAGCCAATACTTTTAGAATGTTTTTCTGTAAGCCAGTCCTCTTCCCAAAGATTTGCATATTAACTCATTTAATCCTCACAATCATGCTAAATTGGTGTTATTATTATTACAATTTGATAAATGAAAAAAGTGAGGCTTAGAAGTTTAGGTAAATTGCTGATTTCCCCATTGCTAGAAATGGAAGACTCAGGACTCAGGACGTGGTAGACTGGAACCAGAATCCATGTACTTAAATTAATATCCCAACTCTGTCACAAGTAACTGCAGAACTTGCATAAACCATTGTAATCTAGTGGAGTCACAATTTCTTCCTTCATAAAAGTAAGACGTGAATACCTACCGCATGGGGACAGAAGGATTTAATATTGTGGTTTTATTATGCTCATCATAAAGCCAGTCCTCAGGAAACGGTAATGACTATCTTTACATGAGAGCAACCTCTCCAACTTCCTCTCTCTCCACTTAGGAACATCAASCCTACACTTTAGCCATACTGAATCACATTTCCATCTGCTTAGAGTACCCATCCATTTTCTTTACTAACTTACATTTTTCCGTAAACACTCAGTGGACATCTCCTCCTTCCCAGAATATACTTATTCTATTGAGGCTATGTTAATCACCATGTATTTTCATGATGTGTTATAATTATGTGTTTTCTATCTGTAAAATACATTACATCACCAGCTCTTATAACAGCATGGATATCATTCATCACTGCTATACTGGGTGCAGTATCAATGCCCAGCACATTGATGATCCGTATACATTTGATAAAATTAATTAATTCAATATACTAGGGTTGCTAATTGTTCATCTATTTGATTCTCATTTAATGTGATAAATGACCTAGTAATGAGACTTTAAACTATCATTCATGCCTAAAGCATATCGCAATTAATTCTATTTCCTTTACTGAAAACCAGGAATGACTTCACTGAAGAGTTAAATGATGCCTTTCAGGACAAAAGATAGGATTTTTCCAGGTAGAGAATAAAAGGAATGTCAGGCAGGAGGACTAGCATCAGGAAGGCAGTGTAAAAGCATATTTTACATGTGGGGAATGAGATCGTCCAGAATTGCTAAAAGAGAAGGTCTGAATGTGACAGTATTAGTGACAGGTCATTAAGTAATTAGAAATGAGAGTAAAAATACAGTGACCAAATCATGAAGGAATCTAATTGCAATGATTTTTTGTTTTTGTTATTATTACAGGGTTGTGGAGAGTTTAAAATGGTGCAGTAGCAGATATGAGGCTGTTTTAGAAAGATAACTCTTAAGCAATAAGCAGGACTCATCAGAAAGTAGACAGACACTAGAAGCACAAAAAACTGAATATCTACTTATTGGCCAAGGAAGAGAACCAATGAGGGGTTCAGTCACTGAGAGGAGGCAACCAATTTCACAGATGCTGTGAAGGTTTTGRGGAAAAACTGTATGTTTGAGATGAGAACATTGAGAGTTTTATAAAAGTTCAAAATGTATTGCTTAAAGTTAACAATTTTTAAGAATTAAGTCCACAGAATATAAATGCTTTTGTCTGCTTATAAAATACAGGCTATACATATATTCTCTTAAAAGTGTAAGGTATTTCAAGTATCAATCACTATAATATTTTGATCCCCCTTTAAATATATTTTAGGCACATTTAAAAATAAGCCATGAATGAATTAAAGTTGTTTAACAGGCAAATTTTCTTTTAAACCATTATGTATATGTGAACAATTATATTCTACGTGTAGATTTTGCTTTCAAAGCCCAAGAAACAAAGTGAATCATAACCTATTAATTGTTTGGCTTTTGTGTAATAATCCTTTATAAAAAATAATTCAAGTATTTGAATCATGCAAGTACATGAATAAGTTGGTAATTTCCACGAGCTTGGTAATATGTGATTTTGCAAAGGACAACTCATAGTCATTGTCATGGGTTTATATGTATCATTATTTGAAAGTCACTTACATTTATTTATTTATTTACATTTATTCATGTATCATATGATCTGATTTTAGTAAGCTGTTCATTCTCCTTAAGTCCTTAATTCTCAGGTGATATATATTGCTTGGCTTTTCTATTTACTGATTGACAGTGTATGTAAATGTTTACAGTGCATTTAAGCTACTGTAGGCCTGGGTGGAAATTGTTTGTCAGTGCTGATTGACTGGGAAACAGGAAATTAAAAAAAAAAAATCCTTGAATGAGTTTTTCTAGTGTGATACATGCTTTAATAAATGCAATCCAAATTTTACACATCAGCAAATCTTAATGAGCACAAAATTGTGGGTCCCCTGCCACCCATGTAATGAGTTTTAAGCTACAAACTAAGAGCTGTAGATTTGGAAGTAGTTTAGGTCTTGGGAGAGGGTAGTGGGGAGAAGATGGCAGGGAGGAAAGGGGTCCAATAACTCTGCATTTTTGAATTTGCTATCTATTATATGCTTCACTGCCTCTCAGTTCAAGGAAAAATAGCAGTATTAGGGGATGGCCTTGGGAGTCTGAGATTTTATAAAGGATGGAATCTTGGTCAGAGCTTCTAGATGCAAAGCTGAGACAGAAGTTTGGGGCAAGAGCTCCAGGAGGATTGGTGTAGAAGGACAAGATAGAGAAGACAAATCTGCAAGGATGTGTCCCTGCTTGAGACCAGCGCACCCCAGCCCTGTGGTTGTAGAACTATGGAGCTTCTACCATGTCACATATTGGACCTTGTGGAGGTAAAAGGGGAGGCAGACGCTGGCTTTTGGATTTCTGTCAGCTCTGGGCTGATGGCTATAGGACAGTAGTAGTTGGGGGTGTGGGTGGGAGTCATAATCTCACAGGAAGGTGAAACTCTTCCAGGCCCACACTGAAGACAGGGTACAGTGAGTTTTTTGCACTAGCTAGTAGTAGGATACTGGGTCACCACTCAAAGTGGTCACCACAGTAGTGATTATTACAGGGGGTGTCTATTTAGAACAGCTGCCTTTTTTTCTGTGATCCTAAGGTGGAGGAAAGATGCTGTGTTTGTCAGAAGGTGAGCTGGTTGGATGACAGGCTGGGATAAAAACAACAGGAAGAGTAGATGATTATGAGTGATACAGCCTGCATTTAGATGGGGAGTGGCAAAACGGGGGCGTTAATGAACATGTTGTATGGAGAGGGGAGCAGAAGAGAAGGGATTTAGAAGCACCTTATTGCTGCATTTAAAGGCAGTGGCAAGCACTGAGTAGGGGTTGAGTGGGAGGGGGGCAGTGGAGGTGGGAAACCCTGCTGGTTGAGCTCTGGGCTTCCAGGTGGACCTGCACAAACACAGCTGACCGGGMTCTCATTCACAGGCACCTGCCCTCAAGTTTGGCTGCCTGAACTTTGAGAGCATCATCTTTTCTTAGCCTTAATCAATCTTCGAAATGACTTTCTCAACTATTGCTTTCTGGATGAAGTGACAGAGGCACATGAATAGGATTTAGGCTTGGTAATATATAATGTTCTTCTACTTCTTCTAATCTGTTTAAAGGATTAGGATGAAAAGTAAATCCCCTCAGACATAATGCTTAAATTCTTTAGGATCCTTTGATATGCTTCTTAATTAATAAGGAGATTCAATTGCAGAGTATTATTTTGTGTGTAAAGGAATTATAGCACAATTTAAGTTGCAGCAATAGGCAATTATATAGCATTTTTACCTGTAATATATGAAACCCAGAATAAAAGCAATATTCCCAAAGGAAACCCAGCTTGCTTCATTGAATAAGGCAATCCTGGAAAAACACAAACACCCCAACCCTCACATTAATAAGACATGTAGAAATACAGAAATTTCCCTAATTCCTGTATATAATGTTAAGTTAAATTCATATATTTATGACATAGTTGTAAGCAATATACAGTCCTAAAATTGAATGGTAGCGTATTAATACTTATTTCAGAAAAAATACTTTTAAGTTAGGGACATGTCAAGATAGCAAATTTATGAGGTGATGAAATAAGAATTAAAAAACATAAAATGAAAAATAGATGCCAGTTCTCACAAATAATGTGGGTGAGGATGACATATTCCTGGAATATATGGGTAGTAATGGCCCCAAACCCTTTCTTATATGGATAATAAGGAACAAAGAAGGGTTATAGGATATTAAGAAAGACTTACCCTGGAATCAAAATGCAGCAACCATATAGATAAAAGGGAAGAAAATGTGAATGCAAAAGTGTTTTTTATGAAGCTAAAGGAGATATATAAAATTATGTCTCATTTTTTGGAGAAAGTGAACTATTTTAGATTATGAAAAATAAAATACTCAAAACAAACATAATTTAAATGCTTATACCCAGATGTTTTATTTTCTGAAAAATATAATTTAAAAAGGCTGCTGAACATAATTAAGTAGTATTTTAAATGTTGCTGGCATGGGTTAACTTAAAGCATGCACATCAGCAATTAACTCCAGAACTCTGCTACACAGAACTGCCATACTTCCATGGTACATGGAGGCAGAATTTTACATAAATTGTTGCCTCTACTTTCTTCTGCTTTATCTCAGATACCTCCAAATCATATATCATTTTAAGTAAATGTCCATATATGGATGAAAGTAAAATAAAGAAGCATATCAACTTCAATTTGTGAAAAAGGAAGAAAAGTAACTCAAGACAGATAAGCATAAAATTTTCAGTAGATTAACCTATTAAAACTTTATAGTAAAAAGTTGTATTCTCAATGAATAATTCAGTTTGCACTATTTTGTTTTCTTTGCCCTTTCTGAAATGGAATGTTCTCAAACAATGAAAAGAATAATAAACACTGAAAATAATAACTGCTTTTTGTTACTATAATACAATGCACTTTTTCCCTTGCCTCAAAAACATTGGGAAAATATGAACTGTTTCTTTATTTTAATTGATTATTTGGCTCCTCTTCTAAGAACAATGAACAAACTGTGTTGTTGATTAAATGTATTTAAAATGAACACATCACAAGTTTGCACTTTAAAATCTAACATCATTTAGACAGATAAGGAAATATTGTATGGATTTAATTTTTCATGTTTTCACATTAAACTTTTCTACTTATAATATTTAAAAAATAATATTTAAAAAAGGTTTGAAGGTGATTTGAGTAATGGTTGACACTTCATGAATAAGAAAGAAGTTAATCAGACAATATAATCAATTGATCAGGCAGCCTATTAAAAAAGAAGAAAGAAAAAGCCCAGGCTTGGTGGCATATGCCTATAATACTAGCAACTTCAGAGGCTAAGGCAGGAGGATTATAAGTTTGAGGCCAGTCTCGGCAATGTAGCAAGGTCTTAAGCAAATAAATAAATAAAAGAAAGAAAAGAAAAGAAAAGAAAAGAACAAAGAAAAAATTAAAAGGACTGTGCTGTGCTGGGTATGTAGCTCAGTGGTAAAGGGGCCCTGGGTTCAACCCACAGTACCCACAGTACCCAAAACAAGCAACAAAATTCAGCCCCTTGCTTGTGCAACTCCACCATGTATGTGGAGAATGCTATCAACTGTGGAAAGAGTGTGAATCTCAACTCCATCCTCAGGATAAAATAGTTGGAGGAATATTTTTACAATGCGGGATAAAAATAAAGGAATAATTTTTATGGAAGAAAATTACAAATTTTCTTAGTTAACACTTTCTCCTTTAAAAAACAATCAATGAATACTAGCAGTATATTGAGTCTTAGATTTGATCTTTTTAATTTAAAACCCCAAACCAAACCAAACAGAACACAGAACACTTACCTATTATACCAGATCCTATAATCGAGTTGACAACATTAAAAACAGCAGCAGACTGACAAGATTTCCTTGAATGCTCGTGTTCAGAAACAAGGGTTTCTCTGTCATCTAGATCTCTCTATTTTAATAGATTAAAATGGTGATTAAACAAATATTTACTACCTTGAAAAATTGGAAAATATCAGACAAATATCCAATGCAAAATTCTACCATGATACTAGTAGTAATAAGTAATATGAAAAACTATAATAAACTAATTATGAGGATAATAACGTATAACGTTTAATAGTAATTCAACGGAGCTTTGCAAACAACTCCATCCTCAAGTGTCAGTTTGCAGCTGCCCCAGCTGATCCTTGCAAATCCAGAGTACAGAGTCTGTGGGGAGCCAGCAATGAGATTGTGTGAAACAAAGAGGTTATTGAAAAGTACTTTCCAAGGAAGAAAGTCAGATTAAGTCAGATTAAGGAGAATAGTTTTCTCCTGCAGATTTTTTCACTAAACTAAGACCCCAAATGAATGTAGCTGACCTGTTGTAGCATGAATGAAACCAGAGGAACTGGCTTCAGAGCCTGACCCAGTTGCCAGTTTTACCTGCAGCGGGATGAGGGGTGGCTGTCCCTGGTACCCCATTGCGCGGTGATCCTGAGCAAGTGGAAGGTTCTGGGGCTGTGCAGTAGGCTCTCACCTGCCCAGCCTCCCCCACCACCTTGCATACACACGAGGTACCCGCGCACCGGGAGGGGCTGGAGGGAGCTGGTTCGCTGGCTGCCCAGACTGTCTTCACCCACTGCTGTGTTATAGACCTGAACTCTGGGTCCTCACAGTCCCGGGAGGTTTCCCAGGGGAGTTCGCCCAGACACAAGCACTCTCCTCCTGATAACCGGATGCTGCAGAAGTTTCTGACCTGGGCAGCCCTCTCCCCACCCACTCTGCATCTCTCTCCTCCTCCCCTCCCACAGGGATGACTGAGAGCTACTCTTAACGAAGCTGCAGAATACAACTTGTTCCACTCATTGCCCTGCCCAGATTATACGGTTATGATCTGATGCCCAGGTAAGAGCGCAGTGGCACCCCTGCTCCATGAAACATCTTTCCTGGTAGCTCTTCCTTCTCTCTACACCTCTTCTAGGGCAGAGATGGCAAACGAAAATGTAGGACTTTAATGGTAAGTGGAAATGGAAAAAAAGGATTCATTAGAAAATAAATAGGGGGGAAAAAAAGCCAAAAAAGTTCCTAGAACTTTTAGCAAACTTGATTATTGTGCAAGTCTTGATCAAATGCTTCCTGGTAACTCTTCAGAAAAGGAGAAGAAAAGAAAAGGAGGATGGGTTGTTACTGGATTCAGGTAAGAAAACCAAGAAAGGGAAAGAGGGCTATCTGGGGACTGAAAAGGGAACATACCCAGATGTCTGGGCTACCTCTGTTCACCTCTTTGTATTACACATGATGAAACTGAGGCCCAGAGTATTCAACCACACAGAGGCAGATTGCACAGAGCGAAGTTTCAGGGACAATGAGGGTGGTAATAATATACAAGTATTTATCAAAAAAGAGACTTTTTTCATACATATTTATTTAAAATTGTGAAAAATTAGAAACATGGAAAAATTAAAGAGACTTATAAATGACACAAACTCTCTACTGTCAAATTAACAAATGCTAACATTTTGTCAGGGTCATGAAAGACACCGAGCCAGACTATCCAACCAAATTGCTCTCAAAATTTTGATCCACAAAAAATGTGGGTTAATAAATGTTTATTGTTTTTTGTAGACCACTAATGTTTTAAGAAGAAAGAAAAGGACCCAGAAAATCACTAACAATYCTCCCATGCAGAGGTAAACACAGCTAATGTGTTAGAACCCTACAGTTTAGTCAGATTATAGAGTGTTTTTTTGAAGGGTAAGTGCATATTCACTTACAAAAACAAAAACAAAATCAGTTTTATTGAGTCTGCTTTAATCCCAGGGGCCATGGAAACCAGACTTTCAGGAATAGAGAGAGACTTAATTTGAGCTTTTTATAGGATTGTACAATTATATAGAGATATACTGAGCCCACATTGGAATATTGCTTTTCCTCATTATTTGATTGCAGTCCAGGCAAGTTGACGTCAAAGAACACCTTGCCTTCTTAGAAATAATCAAAGGCGATTGGATCTGGGTAGCAATTTGAATTTAGAAAGTTCTTCCTGACCGGTACTCTGTTCAAGTAGGTTCAAGTAGGGATGAAACTAAAGGGAATAACTTTCAATATACAACTTTATAAGAGTTTATTTTCCCTTAATCTTGGAAAGGTGTCTGTAAGGGAGCAATTTTGTATTGTTAAAAGAAAAAAAAGCAGATGCTTGATATTTTTCACAATATTGGGATATTGGCTTACTGTTACAAATAGTATGCAGAGTTTTGAACAATATAAACCTTTCTCTTTCTTAACTTTATAGGGATAGGATTCTCAGTCTTTGGAGAGTCTGGATTTTTGCTTAGATACTTTCAGCTAAATAATGAAAATATATCCTTTCTCTTCATGGATTAATCATTTTTCAAAGTCATTCTTGTAACTTTTCTGGGATTTTTATATTACAGTAAGTACTATTTTAGTCCTATTGCACCATGTTGTTATTATTATCGAAATGTTCAAGTATTTTGATATATTTTTATTGTATTGTTGGAACCACTATAGTGATATTCCTGGTTAGGAGTCAGGATGAGGATGGGGCACTGAAGAATAAAAATTACAGCAACTGTGAACCTTGCCTTGCCCAACCCCTTTTTGGACTTCTTGTTCCAGTGTAATTATAAATAGCATCTTTTTCATCCTCTAAAGTATCCTGGTTAGATGATAAGTACCTTAGTTGGCTTTTCATTGTTGAAGCCAAAATATCTGACAAGAACAACTGAGAGGATGAAAATTTTATTTTGGTTCATGGGTTCAGAGGTTTAGTCCATGGTGAGCTAAATTTTTAATACCTTTATTTTATTTATTTATTTTTATGTGGTGCTGAGGATGGAACCCAGTGCCTAACACATGCAAGGTGAGCATTCTATTGCTGAGCCACATCCCAGCCCTCATGTTGGGCTAATTTTATTGCTGTGGGCCCAAGATGAGGCAGAACATCTTGGGGGATGTGTGCAAAGAGGGAAACAAGGAGGAGAAGAAGGAGAAAAAAGAAAGGGAGGAGAAAGGAGGAGGAGGAGGAGGAGGAGGAGGAGGAGGAGGAGGAGGAGGAGGAGGAGGAGGAGGAGGAGGAGGAGAAGGAAGGGAATGCAGGGAAGATGCACCCTTCCAGGGTGCAAATCCAGTGATACCACACCCCATCAGGCCTCAGTAATCATCAGCCTGTCCATTCAAACTAGGATGAACTGATTAGGTTACAGGTCTCACAATTCTATCATATCACCTCTGAACATTTCTACATTAACACAGGAGCTCTGGGGTGACACCTCATATCCAAACCATGACAATAGGCTACAATATTATGTTACAGAGGGACCAAGGGAATAATACTATTGCCTAAAATCTTCATAGTACTTCTCAGTTTTCTGATGTAATCKCTAAGCTAAGAAAGAATGATAGATCTTTAAAAAAAATGGACTTTTGGTTAATTCTTCAGCTAGTATACAGCAGACTAGAAGCTCAGGCTCTGGAAAAACCTTTGAGTCAAAAGTTTGCATCAAAGTTCAAGGAATTGTGGCATGTATTTTAACTTTTTTAGTCTCAAATGTACTCCTTTCTAATAGGGGAAGACCAACGTACCTTTCTCTTGGTCGTAGTTATGAGAATTAAATGAAATAACCAAATTTTATTAGATTTCTATAGCACTAGCAATAAAGTACCATAAAGTTGGTGACATAAAACAACTAAAATATATTGTTTCATAGTTCTGGAGGCTGGAAGTCCCAAATCAAGGTAGCAGTGAGGCCACACTCCCTCCCAAACCTTAGGGTTGGACTCTTGTCTTTTCCTCACTTCTGGTGGTTTGGGGGCAATTTGTCATGTCTTGGCTTGTGGATGTCCCACTGTAACTCCGCATCTTCACTTGACGTCCTCCCAGCCTGTCTTCACACACTCCTCCCTGTGTATGTCTATGTCTGTGTCACAATTTCTCATTTCTATTAGGACACCAAACATATTGGGTTAGGGCCCACTCTAAGGACCTCATCTCTACTTTACTACACATGCAAAGACCTGTTTCCAAATAATGTCACATTGTGAAATACTAGGGGTTAGGGCTTCAACACRTCTTTTTTGGGTGTTGGCACCATTCAACCCATAAAGCTATTTTAAAAGGATTTAGTTAATTGTTTGGTATATGAGGAGTTCTCCATATGTGATATCTGCTGCTACTTCTAAACAGAAAAACACTCTGTTAGGTCGGTATTGTTTAAGGCAGACAGCCTCTGATTTTTGTCTAGACTGTGGCTGCCTAAAAGAGAACTAAAATTCATATCCTCACTTGCAGCTGGTTGTTGTCATGTCACAAATTCTGACTAAGAGGATGCAGATGAAATGTATGTCTTTAAAGAGAAGGATAATAATACCTTGACTTCTCCTTTGTCATTCTTTCCTGATGAAATGCCCAGACACATGGCAGAAGATGGGGTTTATCCCAGAGCAATCACCTGCTGGAAGCTTCATAATAAAAATGGCTAGATAATAAAATAAGGGACTGGGTCCCTGGTGGATATGCCAGATCTAGATTGTTCATGGGGACGTGAAAAGGAAATAAAATTCAATCTTGCTTAAACCATAGCTATTTTAGTTTTTTTTCTTTTCTTTCTTTTTTTTTTTTGTGTGTATGTATGTTTTGTTCCTTATAGACAATTGTAACCCTTTTTAATATGCTTCTGGGTACCAAGTCTATTAGTCTAGTAGTAAAATAGGAGGAATTTAGTTAAAGAACTTTTTTTTAGGTGCTGCTCTATACAAATATGTAAGATAGGATGAATCCTAAAAAAGTTCTTTAAATTCCTTTCGGAAGTAATAGAAGGGTTCCTGTGTTCCATCAACGACTAATCAAAACCTATATTAATAAGTATATACATTTTATCAGTATATGCACAAAAATAAACTATAAATTGTTGCCTTACTAATTACCTGATAAGAAATCTTGGCTAACAGAGGTAGGGAAATACTCTGTCAGTTTGGTATGGATGCTCTTCTATGTGTCCTATGTTTGTACCCTTTGATTCTTACATTTCTAGTCGATATTGCTGTCCAGGTCTTACTTTGGGATCTACAGAGAATTCTTAGTCTCTGATATTAGCCTATGGGCTGACCCAGGTACTTCAGCTCTGGCTCTGACTATTGTGTACTCTCAGTTTCTTCTACTCTACTGTCTGCATTTTCTACATGTGTGATAGAAAATGCAATTTGAAAACYTATTTCCACCAAGATATATATTTTTTTATACTGGGGATTGAACCCAGGGGCACCTTACTATTTAGCTACATCCCCAGTTCATTTAATATTATCATTTTTTTAAATTTTGAGACTGAGTCAAGCTAAGTTACTGAGGGCCTTGCTAAGATACTGAGGGCCTTCTGAAATTGCCCAGACTGGCTTCAAACTTGGGATCCTCCTGCCTTAGCTTCCTGAATCACTGGGATCACAGGCCTGTACCACTGTGT